TTCAGTATGATATTGGCTGTTGGTTTGTCATAAATAGCTTTTATTACTTTGAGATACGTTCCATCGATACCGAGTTTATTGAGAGTTTTTAGCATAAAGGGCTGTTGAATTTTGTCAAATGCCTTCTCTGCGTCAATTGAGATAATCATGTGGTTTTTGTTTTTGGTTCTGTTTATGTGGTGAATTACGTTGATAGACTTGCGCATGTTGAACCAGCCTTGCATCCCTGGGATGAATCTTACTCGATCATGGTGGATAAGGTTTTTGATTTGCTGTTGCAATTGGCTTGCCAATATTTTATTGAAGATTTTTGCATCTATGTTCATCATGGATATTGGCCTGAAGTTTCTTTTCTCGTTGGGTCTCTGCCAGGTTTTGGTATCAGGATGATGTTGGTCTCATAAAATGATTTGGGAAGGATTCCCTCTTTCTGGATTGTTTGAAATAGTTTTAGAAGGAATGGTACCAGCTCCTTCTTGTGTGTCTGGTAGAATTCGGCTGTGAACCCGTCTGGACCTGGGCTTTTTTTGTGTGGTAGGCTCTTAATTGCTGCCTCAACTTGAGACCTTGTTATTGGTCTATTCATAGTTTCAGCTTCCTCCTGGTTTAGGCTTGGGAGGACACAGGAGTCCAGGAATTTATCCCTTTCTTCCAGGTTTAGTAGTTTATGCGCATAGAGTTGTTTGTAATATTCTCTGATGATGGTTTGAATTTCTGTGGAATCTGTGGTGATTTCCCCTTTATCATTTTTTATTGCATCTATTTGGTTGTTCTCTCTTTTATTTTTAATCAATCTGGCTAGTGGTCTGTCTGTTTTGTTGATCTTTTCAAAAAACCAGCTCTTGGATTTATTGATTTTTTGAAGGGTTTTTCGTGTCTCAATCTCCTTCAGCTCAGCTCTGATCTTAGTTATTTCTTGTCTTCTGCTGGGTTTTGAGTGTTTTTGATCTTGCTCCTCTAGCTCTTTCAATTCTGACGATAGGGTGTCAATTTTGGATCTCTCCATTCTCCTCATATGGGCACTTATTGCTATACACTTTCCTCTAGAGACTGCTTTAAATGTGTCCCAGAGGTTCTGGCACGTTGTGTCTTCATTCTAATTGGTTTCGAAGAACTTCTTTATTTCTGCCTTCACTTTGTTGTTTACCCAGTCCACATTCAAGAGCCAGTTGTTCAGTTTCCATGAAGCTGTGCAGTTCTGGGTCGGTTTCTGAATTCTGAGTTCTAACTTGATTGGTCTGAGAGGCTGTTTGTTATGATTTCAGTTGTTTTGCATTTGTTGAGCAGTGCTTTACTTCCAATTATGTGGTCAATTTTAGAGTAGGTGTGATGTGGTGCTGAGAAGAATGTGTATTCAGTGGATTTGGGGTGGAGAGTTCTGTAAATGTCTATCAGGTTTGCTTGCTCCAGGTCTGAGTTCAAGCCCTGGATATCCTTGTTGATTTTCTGTCTGGTTGATCTGTCTAGTATTGACAGTGGAGTGTTAAAGTCTCCCACTATTATTGTGTGGGAGTCTAAGTCCTTTTGTAAGTCATTAAGAACTTGCCTTATGTATCTGGGTGCTCCTGTGTTGGGTCCATATATATTTAGGATCGTTAGCTCTTCTTGTTGTATCGATCCTTTTACCATTATGTAATGGCCTTGTCTCTTTTGATCTTTGTTGCTTTAAAGTCTATTTTATCAGAGATGAGAATTGCAACTCCTGCTTTTTTTTGCTTTCCATTAGCTTGGTAAATCTTTCTCCATCCCTTTATTTTGAGCCTTTGTGTATCCTTGCATGTGAGATGGGTTTCCTGGATACAGCACACTGATGGGTTTTGGATTTTTATCCAATTTGCCAGTCTGTGTCTTTTTATTGGTGCGTTTAGTCCATTTACATTTAGGGTTAATATTGTTATGTGTGAATTTGATACTGCCATTTTGATGCTAAGTGGCTGTTTTGCCTGTTAGTTGTTGTAGATTCTTCATTATGTTGATGCTCTTTAGCATTCAGTGTGATTTTGGAATGGCTGGTACTGGTTGATCCTTTCTATGTGTAGTGCCTCTTTTAGGAGCTCTTGTAAAGCAGGCCTGGTGGTGACAAAATCACTGAGTACTTGCTTGTTCGCAAAGGATTTTATTTTTCCTTCACTTCTGAAGCTCAGTTTGGCTGGATATGAAATTCTGGGTTGAAAGTTCTTTTCTTTAAGAATGTTGAATATTGGCCCCCACTCTATTCTGGCTTGTAGTGTTTCTGCCGAGAGATCTGCTGTGAGTCTGATGGGCTTCCCTTTGTGGGTGACCCGACCTTTCTCTCTGGCTGCCCTTAGTATTCTCTCCTTTATTTCAACCCTGTTGAATCTGACGATTATGTGTCTTGGGGTTGCTCTTCTTGCGGAATATCTCTGTGGTGTTCTCTGTATTTCCTGCAATTGAGTGTTGGCCTGTCTTGCTAGGTGGGGGAAATTTTCCTGGATGATGTCCTGAAGAGTATTTTCTAGCTTGGATTCATTCTCTTTTTCCCCTTCTGGTACACCTATCAAATGTAGGTTAGGTCTTTTCACATAGTCCCACATTTCTTGGAGACTTTGTTCATTCCTTTTTGCGCTTTTTTCTCTAATCTTGGTTTCTCGTTTTATTTCATTGAGTTGGTCTTCGACTTCAGATATTCTTTCTTCTGCTTGGTCAATTCGGCTATTGAAACTTGTATTTGCTTCGCGATATTCTCGTATTGTGTTTTTCAGCTCCTTTAATTCATTCATATTCCTCTCTAAGTTATCCATTCTTGTTATCATTTCCTCGAATCTTTTTTCAAATCTTTTTTCAAGGTTCTTAGTTTCTTTGCATTGATTTAATACATGATCTTTTAGCTCACAAAAGTTTCTCATTATCCATCTTCTGAAGTCTAATTTCGTCATTTCCTCACAGTCATTCTCCGTCCAGCTTTGTTCCCTTGCTGGTGAGGAATTTTGGTCCTTTCTAAGAGGCAAGGTGTTCTGGTTTCGGGTGTTTTCCTCCTTTTTGCGCTGGTTTCTTCCCATCTTTGTGGATTTGTCCGCTGGTCGTCTGCGTAGTTGCTGACTTTTCGATTGGGTCTCTGAGTGGACACCCAGAATGTTGATGATGAAGTATTTCTCTTGCTTGGTTTTCCTTCTACCAGTCTAGCCCCTTCGCTGTACGAGTGCTGAGGTCCGCTCCAGACCCTGCTTGTCTGGGGTGCACCTCTAGCAGCTGTGGCACAGCGAGGGATGCTACCAGTTTCTTTTTCTGCTATCTTTGTCCCAGGATAATGCCTGCCTAATGTCAGTCTTTTGGATATAGAGGGGTCAGGGAGCTGCTTGGGGAGACAGTTTGTACTTTATAGGGGCTTAATTGCTGAGCTGTGAGCTCTGTTGTTCATTCAGGGCTGTTAGGCTGCTATGTTTGATTCTGCAGCAACAGAGCTCATTAAAAAACCCTTTTTTTTTCTCAAATGCTCTGTGTTGAGGGGTTTGGGCTTTATTTTTGGATGTCTGTTGAGGTCCTGCCCAGCTAGGACGCAGACTAGCCACTGTTTGGCTGCCGAGGCTCCGCCCTGCTGTTGTGTGATTCGCCCTGTTCCTGCAGGCTCTGCTGTGGTCTCTGCCACGCCCTGCGGCAGAGTCTCTCTGTTGTAGCGGGTTGCCTCGGCAACAGCAGGCGGCCTCAGCAGTGGGCGTGTATCTCAGTAGGGACGGGTTGCCTCGGTAACGGCTGGCTGCGTCAGCAATGGGCGTGTATCTCAGTTGGGGCGGGTTGCCTCGGTAATGTTGGACGCCCCTCCCCCTCAGCGTCTCGGGCCATCTGCCCGGGGCTTGTTTGAAATCGCGGTTTTGTTCGTTTCACTGGGCCAACCCTAACGCTCTGTCCCTGCGATCCCCTGGCTGGCCCACTCTCCAAGTCTAGCTCAGTCTCAAGTCCAGCCCTCTCACATCTCCGGTTGCCGGTTCAATGGGGCACCCAGACAAGCAAGCCCTGTGGGGAGCGCTGGGTAGGGCCGGCCGTCGCCACCCCGGCTGCCGGCTTCGCCAGGCGGAGGTTCTGCCTGGCGTCCCGCGTCTCCTCTTCACTTGGGAATTTCCCCGTTCTGTGGGCAACAAAGATCAGTCTGGAAATGCAGCTCAGACTCACCTTTCCGCGGACACAATGAGAACTCCAATCCTGGGTTGTTCTCACAGCGCCATCTTGAGTCCTCCTCCCCGGCAGATATACTTTTTAATGGATTCAGTCATTAACATAAGCATACAAAATAGATCAAAGCCATTCAATCTCCAGGAATTTTAATGTATACATTTACTTCAGAAACCATCTGAGCTAAATAACTTAGCAATAGACTCTGAAGCATGGGTGCCTTAAGTTCTCAGTATAACATGTCTCAAATATTTATAGTTCTATATGGAGAGAGAACTACTATTCAGCCTTAAAAAAGAAAGACCATATATACACATTTATCTGTGTATATATATAAAATGGCAAAATGATATATTGATGTACGATGTATAAAATGATATATTGATGACATAAAATGGCATTACATATGTATATACATATGTAATGAACTATTATCAGTCTTCAAAAAATGAAGACACTATGCTATGTGAAGTCAGTAAATCACAGAGAGACCAATAGTACATGATTCCTCATATATGAAAGTATCCAAAATAGAATTTTAGAAGCAGAAAATAAAATAGTGATTGTCATGGCATGGGGTGAGGGGAAGTGGAGATTTTCACTGGATATAATTACAGTTATGCAAGTGGAGTAAATTCAGAGATCTGCTATATATATAGTGCCTATATTTAACAATAAAGCATTGTGCATTTAAAATTTTCAGAGGGCAGATCTATCTTATATGTTCCTAGAACACACACAAAAAAGCAAAGAGACATAAGAAAATGTCTTGTTATGTAGGATATCTTTATTACATTAATTGTGGTGATGGTATCACGGCTATATGCATAAGTACAAAATCATCACATTTTATACATTAAATATATGTAGTTATTTGTATATTAGTTGAATTTCTATAAAGCTAAACTATATTAAATAAATATTTTAAAAATAGGACGTTAGTAAGAATTTTACTACAAGCCAAGACAAATTTATTCCACTTCAAGTTTTCTTTCTAACTTTCTCTGACTAAAATCTGCCAACAGATTACAAATATAAACTCCCAAAGGACTCTCGAAAATAAACATTAAGTGATTGATGAGTGAAGAAAGTCAAAACTTGAAGAAATACCCATGTAGTGATGGTGAGATTCTTCCTTTTTTCCTCCCATTTCCCAAGGCTTCACTTGAGTGGGTAGATTCTGGGAATTGAATAACAGACAGACACATTAACATCTAAGAATAGTCTATTTTTCTAGCGTGAGATCTGGAAAAGGAAAATCTGTGAGCCCAAGAATGTAAATAGAGTGATCTATTTGGTATTTTCTCTTTTTGATTTTATTACCATGTTCTTGCCCCATTGTACAAAACCCAAAAACTCTACTGTCATGGGAAATGGGAGCAAGGCACCCAAAACTCCAAAAGAACCTATTTTAATGGGTGAATAGAAAAATGAAAACAAAACAATGCAAACAAACAAAACACCTGTTGAGTGAAGAGAATCCTGATCTTTTATTCCTTATTTTTTTTCTGTAGCCACATTAACCAAGAGCCAACCATTATACACTTGTGTGTGAAGCTAACATTCTAAAAGAACCCTATCACAGTACTGAGAGAAACCAGACAAATGGTCTCTGAGGGCAGAGAGAAAATAGCTAAAGATGTTAATCTCCTAACTCTGCATATGAACCAACACCATTCCTCTAATCACTGAACTTGTAGTATACACTCAAAAGATTCCACTAGAGCCTTTGATAATTGAATTACAACATAAACAACTACCCAAGTTTAAGAATGAACCTGAACTGGCAAATAGGAGGGAGTCAAAGATATTCAAAAGGAATCTGAAACTGAATTGACATTTTAATCCATCACCCACAATATATAACACACAATTTACAGCATCAAGTTCACTAGATTTCTTTTGTAAAACAAAGAAAAGGAAATAAACAATTCTACAGAGAATTTTAACAGAATCAGAATTTCAAAATATTGTGTTAATTTAGTTTTAACATTATGATGATAATTTCAAATTATCCAGTATATTATATGAAATTACAACTAGGATATCTGAACAATTCATAAGGGAACAGTTAATAGCTACCAACCCAAAATGACCCATATGTTAGAATTATTAAGCAAAGATTGTTAGAAAGTCATTATTGGGGAGCTGCGGTGGCTCAGGCCAGTTGTCCTGGTGCATAAGGAGGCAAGGCTTTGTGTTCGAGGCCAGCCTGGGCAAGATAAGAACCTCTCATTTATTTAACAACAAAAAAAGTCATTATTAACATCCTCCAAAAGATGAAAATAAACACTGTTGAAATGAAAGGAAAAAAGTTATCAGCAGAGAAATAGAAACTAATTATCAAGATAAATTGAAAAGATGATTGTTTTCTACTAAAGTCATTTAAACTATGTATGCCAATATTTTAACATTGTCTCATAATATAAATAGATGTAAAATATATGAAACTCAAATATAAAATGGAAGATCAAGGAATCTATATACTGTAGTTGTAAATCTTTCATGTACTGGAAGTGGTAAAATAGTTCATTAAAATAGGATGTGAAAAGTTAAGACAACTAAAAAATTATATTAAAAAACAAATCCAATAAATAAATTAAAAAAAGGATGGTAAAATATGTTCAAATAATCTTCAGGGAGGCAGGAAATTGAAAATAGAGTAATAAAAAACAAATGAAAGAGAAAAATTTATAGAAAAATCTCACCATATTATAACTATATGCAGTGTAAATTATCTAAACACATAAATTAAGAGAGATTCTAATATTTGATTTAAAAAACCGGCTGGGCACAGTGGCTCACACCTGTAATACCAACACTTTGTGAAGCCAAGGCACATAGATAACAAAGTTAGGAGATTGAGACCATCCTGGCCAACATGGTGAAACTCCATCTCTACTAAAAACACAAAAAATTAGCTGGGCATAGCAACAGGCACCTGTAATCCCAGCTAGTCATCAGGCTGAGGGAGGAGAATCTCTTGAACCCAGGAAGCAGAGGTTGCAGTGAACTGAGAGTGAGCCACTGCACTCCAGCCCTGGTGACAGAGTGAGTCACCATCTCAAAAATATATATATATACACACATTCAGTGCATTTTTATTTATATCATAGAAAGTAGTTTCATAACAAGGAAGGTGAAATGTAGCATTTCATAATAATAAATATAAAATACCGATACACAAAAAACTCATCCTAAATGTGTATGCACCTAACAACAAAGCTAAAAAATACATTAGGCAAAGCTGAAAGAACTGCAAGGAGAAGTAGACAAATCTGAAATTTTACTTGGAGACTTTAACACTCTTCTTTTAGCTATTGATATAACAAGGAAACATTAAATCAACAAGTATATGAAGATTGAAACAAGACTATTAACCAATTTCATAAAGCTGACATTTATACAACATTGAATCCAATAACAGAATACACATTATTCTCGAGCATACATGGGACACTCACTAAGACAGATCACATTTGAGCAAAAATAAAATGTTTGGAATTATAATGGAAATAATGCAAGAATATTCTCTAATTTTAGCAATTAAATTAGGGATGCATATATTTTGAAAACCTAGAAAATTACCAATATTTGGAACTACTACAAAAATTTAGATAAATCATTTGCCAAGGAGGAAATCTTAAGAAATATTAGTAAAATTAAAACACAACATATTTGGGGGATACAGCTAAAAGTTATTGACCTAAATTTTATTACAGCAAATGCCAATATTATAAAATAATAAGGGTCTGAAATAAAAAGTCTAAGCTTCAAAAGCAAGAAACTAGAAAAATTGAGTACATCCAAAATAAGCAGAAAGAAGGAAATAACAATGATAAAAGCAGAATTTTTTATTGAAATTAAAAACTAAAAAAGAATAGAGATAAACCAAAAAATCAAAATGTAATTGCTTAAATATTTAACAACATTGTTAAAACATTAGATGAGTGTTTCAATAATAATAAAAGAACATAAAAATTACCAGTATCAGGAAAAAATATAGGATATCACCAAATATTTGCATATATTAAATTGGTATTAAAGAAATATGACCAAGATATATGTCCATAGTTTCAAATGACTTGATGAAATGATTTCCTGAATTTATGCAAAGTAACAAAACTTACTAAAAGATATCAATAATGCAAATATTTCTATTTCTATAACATAATTTGAATTCATAGGTAAAACTACTCAGTAAAGAAAACTTCAAACCAAGATGATCTCACTGACAAACTCTGCCAAACATTTAAGAGTAATAGACTTAAAGCATAATCTTCTTCAGAAAATAACAAAGGACATCATTGTTTCAACTTATTTTATAATGCCAGAATTATTCTCACACTAAAACCAACCTAATACTTTGCCAGTGATAAAACTACAGGCCAATATCTTCAGTGAAGATAATCAATAAAATATTTCACTGAATCATCAATAAAATATTATTAATAAAATCTAATATGTAAAAATAAAAATAAATTTTCATCAAATGTTTATTCCAGCAATGCAGGACTAGGTTATCATTCAAAAATCAGTTAACTAATTCATAATATTAACACCCTATAAATGAAAAACCTATATCACTTTTTTAATCGATGCAGAAAAATAATTTGACCAAATCCATCATCCATGTATGGTTAAAACTCTTATCCAACTAATTTCTAGGAAAATTCCTTAATTGGATAAAACTCATTCATAAAAATTTTAGCACTTTCACCCTTCTTAGTCAGACTAAATTCTTTTCACCTAAAATTTAGAACAAGGCATAGATATACTCTCACTGGTCTTATACAACACCATGTGGAAATTGCTAGCATGTAAACTAATATTGAAAAAAAGTCATAGAGATTGAAAGGAAGACATGAAATTATCTTTATGCATATATGACATGATTGACTCCCTAGAAATTATGATGGATTTCACAATTGTGATGTTAACACAAATAATAAGTAAGTTTAGGAAGGTCAGATTATAAAAAGTTAATGCCAACAGAAATTATTCAACTGTATTGCAATATGTTAGCAAGGTACAACTGGAAATCAAAATTATACTGTTTTTTATGTGTGACTTAATCGCATTCCCAAATAAAAATATACTTACAAATTCATCTAACAAAATATGTGCTAGGTCTGTATGATGAAAACTCAAAACATTGATGAAAAGATCAAAAAAGGCATAAATAAAAGGAGAGATATACCATGTTCATTGTTTAGAAGACGATATTCTCAAAATATCAGTTCTCTTCAAATTAATCTATAGATGTAATATTATTCCAAACAAAATCCCAAAAGCATTTTGGGTAGTTATTGACAAGCTGATTCTGACACTTAAAAGTAAAGAGAAAAAAAAACTAAAATTAACACAAAAAATAGAATAAGAAAAATTTAAAAAGCGCTGAGCCACTAGATTTAAATAGTTAATATAAAGCACTCAGGACAGTATAATGTTGGTGAAAGCAGACACACTGATGAGTGATAAAGAATAGGTAGCCCAGAAACAGACCTTCTAAAATGTATTCAGAAATGTTCTTTGACAAATATACAAAAGCAACTAAATGGATAAATAATATATTTTTGAAAACATACTCATGAAAAAAGTAGTTGATTATATTCAAAAAAATCACCAACCCCTTACCTGTTTAAAAATTAAAATGGATCATATACATAAATTTAAAATGTAAAATCATTTGTATTAAAAAAAATCTATGACTGGGTTAGGCTGAATATTCTTAGACATGACAATGAAAACATGAAATGTAAAAAAGAAATAAATTGGACCTCATCAAAATTAAATCCTTTTGTTCATGAAAAGCATGATTTAAAGAATTTTAGACCATAAACTGGAGGGAAATACCCAAACACAGTGACTGGGATTGACAAAATAAAACCCAGATAATACCAAATGCTGATTAGAATGTTGAACAGTTGGAATTTGTATGCTTTGCAAGTGGGAATGCAAAATGGCACAGCCTCTTAGGAAAACAGTTTGGCAGTTAGTAATACATTTACCATATGAACAGCCACAGATATTTACCAAAATAAAATAAAATTTCATATTTATACAAAAACCTGTACACAAATGCTCAGAGTGGCTTACTTTATAAATGTAAAGAAGGAAACTCAACTGTCTCTCAAATGGAGAATGGATAAACAAACTGTGATACCGCAATACATGGGA